CGCTACTGCATTAGCAGCTGCACCTGCTACTGTATTAGCAGCTGCACCTGCTACTGCATTAGCAGCTGCACCTGCTACTGTATTAGCAGCTGCACCTGCTACTGCATTAGCAGCTGCACCTGCTACTGCATTAGCAGCTGCACCTGCTACTGCATTAGCAGCTGCACCTGCTACTGCATTAGCAGCTGCACCTGCTACTGCATTAGCAGCTGCACCTGCTACTGTATTAGCACCTGCACCTGCTACTGCATTAGCAGCTGCACCTGCTACTGTATTAGCACCTGCACCTGCTACTGCATTAGCAGCTGCACCTGCTACTGCATTAGCAGCTGCACCTGCTACTGCATTAGCAGCTGCACCTGCTACTGCATTAGCAGCTGCACCTGCTACTGCATTAGCAGCTGCACCTGCTACTGTATTAGCAGGTGCACCTGCTACTGCATTAGCAGCTGCACCTGCTACTGTATTAGCAGGTGCACCTGCTACTGCATTAGCAGCTGCACCTGCTACTGTATTAGCAGCTGCATCTGCTACTGTATTAGCAGCTGCACCTGCTACTGTATTAGCAGCTGCACCCGCTACTGTATTAGCAGCTGCATCTGCTGCTGTATTAGCAGCTGCACCTGCTACTGTATTAGCAGCAAAACAACAAACTGCATGCATGCAGTTTCTCAGTGACTTTAAAACATCACCTCCACCATAAAACTTTTTCTGATGCTCCAAATACAGAAAAACATCCCTTACCAGGGTTTTAGAATAAATAAAAAAAATCTGAAAATAAGTTTAAATGTTAAATAATAGTTAACATCACTTAAATGCAACAGCAAATTCTCTCATTGCTACTGAACATTTTCTCCACTTATGTGATTATGATAGAAGGCTGTTGCTGTAATTGGGAAGTGAACTGTGCTGGGCCAAACTAGGAGGACATTACGCCAGTTTATGTGCAGCAGCAAATCAACTATCCTGATTAACAAGGTTATAAAAGCTCATAAATGAAAAATCACTTTGATGTGTGGGGGAACTTTTCCAGGCCCTCTTTAGCAGGGTGGGACTGGGAGGAGAGTGCTGTATCCTTTTAGCTGGAAGCTAACCGGAGCCTGGGGCTAACACTAGCGACATGAAGGTGGGTGGGTTCACCGGCACGTGTCGGAGTCAGGCCAGTTATTATCAGCTGCTTAACGACACCGAGCGGACTCACGTTCACGTTTGAAAGCAGCGCTGATTCCAGAAACCTCAGCACAAAGTGCGTTCATTAATCTGAGCCAGCATGACGAACAAGGGAACGGCGCCGCTAACTCAGTTCGGGTATTGCGTTCCTAAGGGTCTACGTAGGGGGCGGGCGTATTACGTGAACGGACCCATCTGATTGGCCGCATATCAGAAGGGCTACATTTGATTGGTCAAATAATACTTCCGTGTAAAAAACAGATCTGGTTTACAAAAAGTTGAAGTATGACAAGAATGAAAATGTTTGAACCAAACATTTATCGCCGTTTTTGACGTGCTTTGCGATGGGCCTACCGCACGTCCTGTTATCGCGATGACGATAATTTTTCGATATATTGTGCAGCCTGATAAATATATATATATATATATATATATATATATATATATATATATATATATACATACACAATCCAATCCAATTTTATTAATAAAGCGCATTCACAAGGCATTACAACCAAACAAGGTGCTGTACACTAAAAATGTTGGTTAATTAAACAGGCGTTATATAAACATGTCGAACACAGATAAAAGATAAAAAGGAAATACAACAAAATTCCCAAAAATAACAGCTAAAAATCAATAAGGCACAGGGTGAATAAAAATAGGAAAAAACATTTTACAAAGAACCTCAATAATACGGAAGTCGATAAATATATATATATATACATATATATATATATATATATATATATATATATATATATATATATATATATACATGTACATGTATACATATGATTACTAATTTCAAACAATACCCCTGGTTCAAACCGAATAATGACCTAAAATAGAATTGACTTCTGGTTAATTTCTGCTTCAGTTATATCTCATGTCTCAGACTGCTGCATGTCAGCAGCTCCTCTGTCTGATCACTCAGTTATAAAGTTGAAATTTGCGCCTCCTGGTGGTGGGCACAGAAATAAAGGCTACTGGAAATTCAATTCTGCATTACCAATTTCTCAGACAGACACACTGTGATGGTATTAAATCTCTAATCACTGAAGTGATGGCTGATAACACTATAGGGTCTTATTTGTCAAAGTGGGAGTTTCTAAAATTCACATTTCGAGAATTCTCCATCCATTTTGGGAGATCATTCCACAAAAACAATAAACTAACAGAACTTAATCTAATTAAAGAAATTAACACGTATTGTAATAAGGCATCACCAAATGAAAGTGACAAACAAAAATGATTAACTCTACAAGGTAAGCTTGATGAAATGCATCTAAAAAAAGCAGAAGGAGCGTAGATAGATCCAGAGCTAAATGGGTCGAAGATGGTGAAAAAAGCACAGCTTATTTTTGTCAGCAAGAAAGAAGAAGGCAAGACAGAAATTCAATTAAAACTTTATTAATTCAAAACCAAATATGTACAGATCCAACTTTAATTACAAAGGAATTGACTTCTTTTCACAGCAAAGTATACTCAGCAGCCTTCTCTGAGACTGGTTCAGACTTTTTCTTCAACCATATTAAGAACATTATCCCGAGTATAGTTGATGATTTTGCAGAGTTATGCGATGCTGGTATCACTTTGCTTGAACTAGACAGCGCTGTAAAAAACTTAGCCTTAAATAAATCCCCCGGTTGTGACGGCCTAACATCTAATTTCTATCGACACTTTTGGGATCTGTTAAAAAATCTGTTTATTCTTATGTTAAATGAAGCAACTGATACTTTATATTTTCCTCCCACTGTGAAACAAGGCTTAATTACTTTAATACCAAAACCCGGTAAAGACTCAAAAATTATAGATAACCTTAGACCCATAACATTAGTGAATACTGATTATAAAATTGTAACCTTAGCCTATGCCAATAGATTAAAAAGCAAATTAAACTCAATTATAAGTGACTCCCAATCTGGCTTTATGAAAGGTAGATCTATTCACAATAACATTCGTTTGGTGATGGATCTCCTAGACTATAGTCACTTAATTGATGGCGGTTTTATTTGATTTCTTGACTTTTATAAAGCCTTTGATTCTATTGAACACCCCTTTATCTTTCAATGTTTAAAACAGTTAGGCTTTAGAAACAAATTCTGTGCTACCATTGAGTCTCTGTATGATAATGCAACTAGCTCTATTTCATTACCAAATGAAACGTCACCACGATTTGATATTAAAAGAGGGGTTAAACAAGGGTGTCCTATCTCTCCCCTTCTCTTCATAATTACTACAGAAACGCTTTCTATCTTTATTAAAAATTCATATATTACTCCCTTGAATGTTATGGGATTACCTGTAATCATTATCCAACTTGCAGACGACACAACTATTTTTATGAAACATCTTACAGAGACTCCTAAGATAACAGACGTTCTGCAGGTGTTCTCCCAGGCCTCCGGACTTAGTCTTAATTTTAAAAAATGCACTATATTAAGAGAGCAGAAATTACCAAAGAATATAGAGATGGTGGACTACAAGCTATAGACTTTGAGATCATGGATGGAACACTGAAAATTAACTGGTTAAAATCCTTCTTTAACAATAAAAGCTTCTGGTATCATATCCCAGGGAAATCTTCTAAAGGTTTGGAGGCATTGGCCTTTTGTTAAAATGCGATTTCAATATTAAAAAACTTCCGATTAAATTATCCCAGTTCCATCAACAAGTCATTTTATACTGGAAACTTTTATACAACCATAATTTCACTCCACACAACACGCCGATTTGGAACAATAGATATATAACAATTAAAAATAAGTCATTATATAAGAAGGACTGGATGGACAAAGGCATTTGGTCCCTAATTCATTTGACTGATAAAGAAGGGCGTGTGATGACCCATGAGAATTTCTGTCATACATGTCATACATTACAGTTGAACAGAATTCATTCGCTTCCATAATAAAAGCCATCCCTATTCCTACATTAAATCTAATTCAAGAAATTGTTTCCAACTCTCATTCAGTCTCCCTACTCTTCCTCATCTGGGAACTTCGACTTCAAGAGTGTTAAAGCTCCTAATAAAACAATTAGAAAAATGCTTGATGATATTTCACACCCTTCACTGCCTTTCAGAAATTCCATTAAACACATTTTCTCCATAGATATTACATACTCATTACGCTCTAAATACCTCAAATTTCCTATAACTCCAAAAGCCAAAGAAATCCATTATAGAGTTTTAAATGACGTGTACCCATCTGGGGAATTCTTACGACAGAGATGTGGTTTTGACACAAACAAGTGTGTATTTTGTGATGATATAGAAACCTCTGTTTATTTATTTTTTGTATTTATTCTGAAGCTCTCTGGACTGATATCCACGAGTGGCTATACACAAAGATGCGTATTGAACCCTTTTCTGAGAACGATGTCATTTACGGAGCCACATTAGATAACACTGAATGGGACTTTCTGGTAAATAACATAATCGTTGTAGCCAATTTTTACATTCACAAATGTAGGTATGGAAAAGTGAAGCCTAGATGCCATGCATTTCATAACGAGTGTCTTTCTTTCTCCAGAGCCCTTAACTTTATGAAAAGTAAACATGCGATGAAACTCCTTAATATTTTTGAAAAGTATGATTTGAAAACAAAGCCCTAGCTCTTTGTCTTTTATTTATTTATTTGTTTATTTATTTGTTTATTCGTTTATTTATTTATTTCACAAATATCCTTTGTTTTCTATGTAAAGTCTCTTTTGTTATTCTTTCCACCTGATCCTTAGAAATGTCGAACAAAGGAATTTATGCCATGTTGTTTGTCAAGGAAAAAGTTAAAAAAAAAATTTTAATAAATAAATTTAAAAGCCTACTGTAGGGTTAGCAGTGCGCATGCGCATGCGGGTACCCGGAAGTGTAATCGGCTGTTTGAAAAGTGTTTTTATCGGTGTTAGAAGAAAATGCAGCTTCATTCCATCAAAGACGTTCTGCCGGACTCTGTCAGCTCCGACTTTCAGAACCTGAACAGAGTGAACAAGCAGGTAAACCCGGTCGGTGTTCTGGAGTCATTTAGAGTCGGAACCGAGTGTGTATGAGAGTAGACGATCACCCAGGTTCTGGGTTTGATGGCCTTTGTTTTGCTTTTTTAATTCCTGAGTTCGTGTTCCGCGTAGCTGAACCCCGGAGGTACAGCTGTTCACCTGCAGGGTCAGGTGTGTTGCTGTGTCAGAAATGGGACAGGTGTGCCGAAAAGAGCATGCACTGTCGCCACATCTAGTGATGCAGTAATATGGAGCCAGGATTGGGGCAATATTCAGCGTAACTTGTACCAAGTTTTGTAACTTCGAACAAGTTTCATCACATGTAACTTTGGATTCGTAACTTGTAACTTTAGTTTTCTAACTTGTAATTCTCAATTCGTACTTGTATTTCTTGTTTTGTAATAGAAACGTTGTATTTTGTACATGTATTTTTATTT